TTTCTGCCAACATTTCGCCAAAGATTGAGAGAATTCAGCAAAATTTTACATTTTACTTACATGCAATCAGGGCTTTTTTTCCTCAGAAAATATGTGTAGGAGCTCAACCACGAACCCCCCAAACCCCCTCCCCCCCACACACACCCTCCAAGCAGCATCATAAAGTGGGTGTGATTAAATTTCACTAAGAGTGAGAGGGTCTTAAAGGGGCATTAAGTACCAGGAGTGCATTATGTACAGCGTTCAGAGTTTAGGGGTACACTACACACAGAGTTCAGAGTTTAGGGGTGTGCTACACACAAATTGCAGAGTTTAGGGGTGCACTACACACAGAGTGCAGAGTTTAGGGGTGTGTGCTACACACAGATTGCAGAGTTTAGGGGTGCGCTACACACAGAGTGCAGAGTTTAGGGGTGCGCTACACACAGAGTGCAGAGTTTAGGGGTGCACTACAGAGTTCAGAGTTTAGGGGTGCGCTACACACAGAGTGCAGAGTTTAGGGGTGCGCTACACACAGAGTGAAGAGCTTAGGGGTGCACTACACACAGAGTGCAGAGTTTAGGGGTGCACTACACACAGAGTGCAGAGCTTAGGGGTGCACTACACACAGAGTGCAGAGCTTAGGGGTGCACTACACACAGAGTTCAGAGTTTAGGGGTGTGCTACACACAGATTGCAGAGTTTAGGGGTGTGCTAAACACAGAGTTCAGAGTTTAGGGGTGTGCTACACACAGATTGCAGAGTTTAGGGGTGCACTACACACAGAGTGCAGAGTTTCGGGGTGCGCTACACACAGAGTGCAGAGTTTCGGGGTGCGCTACACACAGAGTGCAGAGTTTCGGGGTGCGCTACACACAGAGTGCAGAGCTTAGGGGTGTGCTACACACAGAGTGCAGAGCTTAGGGGTGCACTACACACAGAGTGCAGAGTTTAGGGGTGCGCTACACACAGATTGCAGAGTTTAGGGGTGCACTGCACACAGAGTGCAGAGTTTAGGGGTGCGCTACACACAGATTGCAGAGTTTAGGGGTGTGCTACACACAGATTGCAGAGTTTAGGGGTGTGCTACACACAGATTGCAGAGTTTGAGGTGTGCTACACACAGAGTGCAGAGTTTAGGGGTGTGCTACACACAGATTGCAGAGTTTAGGGGTGCGCTACACACAGAGTGCAGAGTTTTGGGGTGCGCTACACACAGAGTGCAGAGTTTCGGGGTGCGCTACACACAGAGTGCAGAGTTTAGGGGTGCGCTACACACAGAGTGCAGAGCTTAGGGGTGCGCTACACGCAGAGTGCAGAGTTTAGGGGTGCACTACACACAGAGTGCAGAGTTTAGGGGTGCACTTACCACAGAGTTCAGAGTTTAGGGGTGTGCTACACACAGATTGCAGAGTTTAGGGGTGTACTACACACAGAGTGCAGAGTTCAGTCTTCCTCCACAGCTGCTTACCTCTGCATCTTTCACCAACATCTAATTTTCACCCCTCTTCAGCTCTGACCTCTGCATGAAACCCCCCTCCACCGCCCCCACCTTCTCCCCACCTCCTTAAAAGCTCCACCATTTTCCACATGTATTACTTTTGTTGCTGTATTAAGCTGAAGCACTTGTATCTCCCTACACACTGTAGGTGGCTCACTTGCAGAGAGATCATCCAGTGGGGGCATCAGCATCCACACTGCCCCCTGGGCAACTGCATCTCCCTTCTCCCCATCCTGCACTCAGTGGGAGCCGCTCAGGAGATCAGATCTGTGGGAGCCGTTGGGAGACAAGCTGTCATCTCTAAACATAGAAGCCAGACTTCTATGTTTACAAGTGACAGTGGTTAGCTGGAAGAAAACAGCTTGATCCAGAGGTGGCGGAACTTCCACCAAGTTCCAGCTGAAAAAAAATCCCTGCATGCAATGGAGTCAAAAGAGAAAGAAAAATTATTTTGTGTGTCTTTTAAGGGTGCAATGGGCAATAAATGGCTCCCGAGGGTAATGAATGTTCCATTTATTATTTGGGACCTGTTCCTATGTCAAAAAGGCATACACATCAGCTTCATTTGATCGTTTTTTATTGCAGAATTAAAAGACAGCAAAATAGAAAAGTAAATAAATAAATAAAAGGACAGTACGTAAAACCCATATGAAATTGATATTGTTTCTTTTTTAAATTATATTTTTTTTATTTAAAGCATATTAAGCCCAAGCAGCTCAATGAACAAACCTAACAAAACAAAACAGTTGAATCTGTATTTTTATTACACAGTTGATTTACTTGAAATCAGTTTGTTCATCCCTAGTGCTGCATGTAAATGATAATATAGAAGGGCTGATAGAAAATATATTTTTTACACTAAAATCACAATAATAGTGTCAGCCTCTAAAGAGAAGGTTAAAGCATTGCCCGTTTGTGCCAAGCCACTCAAACAGATCTGAACGTCAATCAGTAGATTGTAGAATAAATATAATGGTGTCCTCTCCCAACCCCAAGCATGCTGATTGGACAAGGAAGGAGCAGTAGAGTTATGATGAGGTCACTCTGATTTTTTCGCTTCTCATTATGTTTCTTGTCAACAAATGTGGATGAAGCACATCTGATTGGCTCCCAGTCCTGCCCCACCCTCTCCCAGGCCAAATGCTGCTGTTTATGAGTACAGAGAGTATGAACTTCTTACTTCCGTTCTCTGCTGTGCATTCTTCATATTTTGTTTTAAGAGAAATCTCTAGAGGCCAATGACAATGTCACTGTTGTTCTAGTAGAGTCTCCATAGGGGTGCACGGAAAATGCACTTCAGAGAAGGGGAAACAGAAAGTTCAACTTAGAGCAATATCCTTGGTGTCACCAGAAATTTTCCCCAAAGCTGTCACAGATGGAAAAAAAACAGACAAGGAACAATCTATCCCCTCCAAACTCGATCCAAACTAAAAAAAATAACATTTTTTTTAATGAAATACAACTTTTGTAATCAAACATTTTGGCACTGTTGGTGCCTGTTGAAAAAATGAAATTCTTTTATGGTGGATCCAGCTCAAGGGGACTTTCCATTACCATTTGAGTTCAGCAGGGCATTCCCCAATGACAATGTCACTGTTGTTCTAGCAGAGTCTCCATAGGGGTGCATGGAAAATGCACTTCAGAGAAGGGGGAGCAGAAAGTTCAACTTAAAGCAATATCCTTGGTGTTACCAGAAATTTTCCCCAAAGCTTTCAGATGGCAAAAAAACAGACAAGGAACAATCTATCCCCTCCAAACTCGATCCAAACTAAAAAAAATAAAAATATTTTTAATGAAATGCAACTTTTGTAATCAAACATTTTGGCACTGTTGGTGCCTGTTGAAAAAATGAAATTCTTTTATGGTGGATCTGGCTCAAGGGGACTTTCCATTACCATTTGAGTTCAGCAGGGCATTCCCCCTAAAGTATACCAACTTGCTAATGTGTATATCTTCCCTCTAGTACCTTCACAATACTATGCAGGCCGACAATTAATCATGGTCATGTTTACACTGGACTGATGTATTAGTTGGCATTTTATTTCAAGCTTGTAATTTATAATCACTAAATAGACCCAATAGTCTTCTTCTTCTGAGATTCATTATGGTAAGAACATTAATGTTATTTATCGAGAAAATAAATGTACTTACCATAAAAATGTATAATATTTTCTTTTACAAAGAATAAAAATGTATAATATTTTCAATGGCATTTTGACAGGCCAGGCATCAATACATATGTCACATTTACATAGCACAGACATTATATTGTATGTAAACCCTAAAAATGAACTTACTTTTATTTGTTCTTATTTGGTTTGCTTAATGTACCATTGAATGCGTGAACAGGTCCAAAATACAGATTTTCAGATATCTTGAGAGCCAATAACGTCCTGTGCTCTCTACCTGTACACAAGGAGGGTTTATAGAGCAAAGAGGAGGGATGAGAAGAGGGTTGTGTTCTTTGTAATCCATACAAAATTAAGTAGGCAGGTCTGACACCATGTGCTTAGATATTTACGTAGTTCAGCTGTAATTTTTCTGTATGTACAACAAGAGATAAAACATTTGTGCATGTATCTTCAGAGATGTACTAAATATGTTTTTTGTTTTTTTTGCCTTGACAGGACCCCTGCCATAGGAATTACATGGATGCTGCCACTGCTGTTATAGTTTTGGAAAATGTAATTTCCAGACTGTCATGCTAACCTTCTTGCTTCCATACTCGGTGCCACTTACCTGGAACTAGTATGCATATAGAGACTTATGATGTTTTGTCACCTGCTGTGCTAGGAGAAGAGCAGTGTTACACAACAATAGGGTATACACAACTGTGTTTGATTCTTTAAATGGGGCTTTATTGGTTTTTATTAGTTTTTTTTTGTTTACAAACTTTTTATTAAGAGATAGGCAACAAAAGCAGTGCAACCTCCTGAGGTATAATACACCCCAAGAAAAAAGCACATAGTTATGTATTAGTTTTAAGTAGTATGTCATAATATCATCATGGCTTATTTATCCACTAGCCTACAGGGCACTTATACCCCCTTCCTGCCCAGGCCAATGTCCAGCTTTCAGCATTGTTGCACTTTGAATGACAATTGCGCGGTCATGCAACACTGTACCCATATGAAATTTTTATAATTTTTTTGTGACAGATAGAGATTTATTTTGGTGGTATTTAATCACCTCTGGGTTTTTTTATTTTTTCTTAAACAAACCAAAAACCACTGAACATTTTGAAAAAAAAATTTTTTTCTTCGTTTTTGTTATAAAATTTTGTAAACAAGTGATTTGTCTCCTGCACTGATGTGCTAATGAGACTGCACTGATAGGCTGCACTGATGGGCACTGATGAGGAGGCACTGGTAGGTGGCACTGATGGGCATTGACAGGCATCACTGATGGGCACTGAAAGGCAGCACTCATATATGGCACTGATAGGCGGCACTGATAGGCGGCACTGACTGGCACTATTAGGCGCCACTGATAGGCAGTACTGACGGGCACTGATAGGTGGCACTGATGCACACTGATAGGCGGCACTGACTAGCACTGGTAGGTGGCACTGACTGACATTGATAGGTGGCACTGACTGGCACTGATGGGTGACACTGAAAGGCCACTCAGATGGGCACTGATATGTGGCATTGGTGTGGCACTGATGGGCACTGAAATGTGGCACTGATGGGCACTGGCAGGTGGCATGGATGAGCACTGAGAGCTGGCACTGATGGACACTGACAGGTGGCGCTGCTGGGGCTACACAGATCATCAGGGCACACTGATCATCAGTGTTCTGATGATCTGTGTAGATGTCCCCTCCGAGGAATGCCGATTACAGGCTCTTCACTCCTCACGAGCTGCAGCATGACAGCTCGTGGGGAGAGAAATGCCGATAACCGACATTTCCCTGTTTACATGTGATCAGCTGTGATTGGACACAGCTGATCACATGACCGAGCCAACATCTTTGGCTCTTTCCGTGGATCGAGGGACACAGCACACTGCCGTTCGCCGCGCTGAGCGCTCTGGGAGCCGCACATGCTCGGTTAGAATGAGAGGACGTCATATGACGTCCTCCCAGAACGAGAGAACCGCCTTGCCTCCATCATATTACAATATGGCGGGCGGGAGATGGTTAAAATGACACTGTCATGAAAAATTATTGTTAAAACTACTGTTACCTACAAAACGATTCAGCCAGTACTCAACTTTTCCAGTTGCTTTGCTACTAACCACAGACCCCATTCATGAGTTCTCAACCCCCCAAGTCACCTGAAAAACCAACACTTCCTGGTGTGTCATTCTCCTGGTACCCCTGTAACATCTGCTGGTTCCAAATTTTTTCTTCATTTTGGCTAGTTTAGGGAACGATTTTAAAATTCCTCCCAGGCTGATTTTGCCATATATGTCCCTTTGAAGAGAATACCTGCTATTTCCAATCCCATAGGCTCAACAGGAAGTTGTCTTTAAAATACTGGAAATAAGTAATTGAAAATCTCTCCAAAATAAAGGAAATAGGTAAAAAGAAATCTTTCCAAAATAAGGGAAATCCACTCTTAGACAGTAGTCAGCGGAACACGTGTCTCCATTGGAGGATTGCTTTTTTATTCCTATTCCGAAAACATTTCAACATTTTGGACTTTCCTTTTAATGATAAATATCAAAAGTACATATAGAGAAGGTGATCTTTACCACTGAGGACACAATAGAATTCAGACAGAGGTTTCAGTCCTTCCCTGCTCTTGCCAAAGCAAAGCTAAATTAATAAAATGGGCTTTTGGGTACACTTTATTTTTAATCAAAAAAGCAGGTGCAAAAGACAGAGTAACAGTAAAACTTGGATTCATGTTAGATAACATAGAAAGGTTCACGCATTACAAAAAATGGTCATTAAAATGCTATAAACAGTATAATACAGTAAACCAGATAACAGTTGTTTCCCTGAGTTTGTTCTAACCACCATGGTATGTTCACATATCCATTCACTATGCACCAAGTTATCTGGGCGCATGGGTGTGATAAGGGGGTACACACTCTCAAAAGGATGTTATTATTAGGTGGGAAGCACACCACACATCCCATAGCTTATATTTACAGCCCAACCAGTTTCATAAATAACTTTTTCATAGGGCAGTACCTGGTTAATTGAACATAACCACTGATGGATTACAGAGGGTAGGGCTGTAGCCATTTAAATGCAACAAATTTAGAAACAAAAAATAGGGTTTCCCTTAGTTATATTCTACACTGCCAAAAACATTAAAGGAACACTTTTTAATCAGAGTATAGCATCAAGTCAATGAAACTCCTGGGATATTGATCTGGTCAGTTAAGTAGCAGAGGGGGTTGTTAATCAGTTTCAGCTGCTTTGGTGTTAAGGAAATTAACAACAGGTGGACTAGATGGGAAACAATGAGATAACCCCCAAAACAGGAATGGTTTTACAGGTGGAGACCACTGACATGTTTTTCCCTACTCATCTCTTCTGCTAGTATTCATTAGTTTTGCATTTGGCTAGGGTCAGTGTCACTACTGGTAGCATGAGGTGATACCTTGATCCTACAGAGGTTGCACATGAAGTCCAACTCATCCATGATGGCACATCAATACGTGCCATTGCTGCCAGAAGGTTTGCTGTGTCTCCCAGCACAGTCTCCAGAGCATGTAGGAGATTCCAGGAGACAGGCAGTTACTCTAGGAGAGTTGGACAGGATGGTAGAAGGTCCTTAACCCATCAGCAGGATCGGTATCTGCTCCTTTGTACAAGGAGAAACAGGATGAACACTGCCAGAGCCCTACAAAATGACCTCCAGCAAGCCACTGGTCTGAATGTCTCTGACCAAACAAACAAAAACACACTTCATGAGGGTGGCCTGAGGGCCCAACATCTTCTAGTGGGCCCTATACTTCCTGCCTGGCACCATAGAGCTCGATTGGTATTTGCCATTGAACACCAGAATTGGCAGGTCTGCCACTGGTGCCCTGTGCTTTTCACAGATGAGAGCAAGTTCACCCTGAGCACATGTCACAGATGTGAAAGGGTCTATAGAATCTGTGGAGAGCGTTATGCTGCCTGTAACATCATTCAGCATGACCATTTTGGTGGTGGGTCAGTGATGGTCTGGGGAGGCATATCCATGGAGGGATGCACAGACCTCTACAGGCTAGACAATGGCACCCTGACTGCCATTAGGTATTGGGATGAAATCCTTGGACCCATTGTCAGACCCTAGACTTGTGCAGTGGGTCCAGGGTTCATCCTGGTGCACGACAATGCCTGGCCTCATGTGGCGAGAGTATGCAGGTAGTTCCTGGAGGATGAAGGAATTGATACCATTGATTGGCCCAAAACTCACCTGACCTAAATCCAATAGAACACCTCTAGGATATCATGTTTCGGTCCATCCGACATCACCAGATTGCACCTCAGACTGTCCAGGAGCTCAGTGATGCCCTGGTCCAGATCTGGGAGGAAATACCCCAGGACACCATCCAACAAACTACTGAGTACCATTATGAGTTGTTGCATTGAAATATTGGCAAAATGGACTAGCTTGCTGCATCATTTTTCCACTTTGATTTTTGGGGTATCTTTGAATTCAGTCCTCTGGAGGTTGATAATTTTCATTTCCATCAAACGATGGGGCATCCTTTCATTCCTAACACATTACCCAGTCCAGTGTATCAGTATAGATATCCAGCATGATATTTTTTCCCCATTGATAGCTGATGTGTTTTCAAAGCGTTCCTTTAATTTTTTGAGCAGTCTAGTATAATGTGGCCACTGATCTGTGTCTAGGAGTCTAAGCAGACAGACCTCAGGTGTAAATGGGACAGGAGTTGAAATTATCGTGGACAACAAATCTACAATTTGTTTCCAATATCTGGCAATCAGTGGACAATGCCAAAGTACATGAAGAAAGGGTACACTTTAATCTTGGTTTTCCTCTTGGTGGTTCCTCTGAGATGCCAAACACCAAAGTGTATATGCACACAGTGGTTTGGTACAGCGGTTACCAACCGATGGTCCATGGAACACTGGGGGTACGTGAGCAAATGTTGGTGGTCCGCAGAAAAATCTGGACATTATTTGCATTTTTAATGGTTTATTAATAATAAAACAAAAATAATATTTTAAGAAATTCTTATATTCTGAATGACAATTTTCGCTTTATATTGCACTACATTCACAAACTGTACTAGGGAGGGGGAAACAAGAGAGGTGCAGCGTGACATCATGGTAGTCTTAAGTTGTATGAGGCAACCATTGCTGAGCCATATACTTCCGTATTGTCAGTACCGGTCTCAGCTTGAAATAAAAATGGCTCTCCATCTTGCAGTAACGTCATTGGAGCCAAAAATCCATAAACTTATTTCAAACAAGTAGGAACAAATATCACACTAAAAATGTGTAATACTTAAATAAGTTTCATTTATTTTGTAATAATTAAACTAACTTTAAGAATTTTGTTACAATTAAACAACCTTTAAATATTTTGTTATGATTAAATAAGCATTTATAATTTTGTTATATTAAATAGGTGTATTTCATATTAATAAATCGGAAGTTCTCTGATCATTATTTTACAAATGTATTTATCTTTTTAAAAAAGTTGTGTTAGTGGTCCGTGGGATTTAAAATGATTAATTTAGTGGTCTGTGAGGTCCGAAAGTTTGGCTACCACTGGTTTAGTACTCATGAGGTTCAATGTACCCTAGAAGCAGTGGACATGGGATTTGATTGCAAAATGATTCAGGTGAGGTTCAGGTGGTCTTTTGAACGGCCACCTACAGTATATCAATCCTAAATTTGTTGCAGATGTTTGTAAAAATATCAGTCAGCTGTCCAGGATTGCAGTCGCAGGGTCTTGCATAAACACAGAACAGCCATAAAATCTTTAAATGAGAGCCAGCTAGGATTTCTCCTCAGCTCCCCTATTCTGTCGTTAACGTATTTGATAAATCCTCTTCAGAAACCATACAATCACTGTTAAAATAGATACAAGATATCAGCTGAGAGACAGCAAGGGACTCCTGATATATATTACGGCACAAGGTTCTCATCCAGGGGTGAAAGGCTGCAGATAAAATGAAAGGCCAAAGCCAGGGCAGAACAGGAAATTGAAATCATAGTAAGAGGCATTTTCGCAGAGCTGGGGAAGCCAAATTTCCAACCTGAAATAAAAGTATATTCATATATATAATATATTTCTAGACACAGTAAGGCTCCGTGTACATGGGACACTTAGCCGCGTTTGCATACCGCGTTTATGTGCGTTTATTTGCGCTTAGAAGCGTTTTTTAAAGATAACCTCAGGAGACCTTCCAAAATGCCCAGAATGCACGGAAAGGAGCAGGGCCCTCGAACCCCTCGTGTATCACATTGTATTGTTATTGTACTGTCTCATGTATTGTCCCCCATTGTAATGTACAGCGCTGAGCGAATGTTGGCGCTATATAAATACTGTATAATAATAATAATAACAGTAAAAAATTAACTATTTCAAACATTTTGAGAGAAATAGAGAGAGCAGAAGCAGACAAAGCAGTATCTGTTGAGATTAGCTGTCTTTTTTTTTGTGGTGTTTAGATGTGTTCCAGCTCATTTCTGTGCAGAAATTATTGCAGCAGTGTCTAACATATTTTCTTTCATGTGAAACCCCAAAGTATGGTGTACCAGGTCCATTTGAGTACCGGCAAAACGCTTTGCATGCATTTTTCATGATGAAAAAAAGGTTCTAGACAGCATCTGGAAATGGAAGAGTTAAAAACATTTTCCAAACGCAAATGCTTATAAACGCGGTTAGCCGCATTTACACGTTTACAAGTGTTTGGCATTTGAAACGCTGATAAAATCTACTTCTGAATGCAAGTTTGGTGCGTTCAAAAAAAATGACTATAAACTCAACAACGACTGTAAACGAAGATGTGTACATGGAGACATAGGAAAACAATAGGGAGAGTTCAGGGGGTGCTGAAAAAAATGCTGAAAACCTCCTAAGGG